GCTAAGGCTCCGCCCCGGCGTGCCCTCAGCGTGGAGGATGTGGGTGCCCCCAGTCTGGCTCGCACAGTGGGCCGTGTGGTGGAAGTGTTCCCAGATGGCACGAGCCAGCTGCAGCTACAGCGCTCCCCAGAGGGCACCTTTGGCTTCTGTGTGGCTTCTGGGAATGGGCGCCGGGACTCAGGTATGCCCTCTCCCCTTCCTGGGCCCCACAGCCTTGGGGGCCTTAGCAACACAGCAGCACCTTTTGTGGGCAGAGGTTTTTCTGGTTCTAACTCAGGAAGCCTCTTCACTAAAGGAGGAGAATTCTCCCTGCGGGGGCTCTTTGTGAATTGTCCAGGGCTGCCTAGGAGTCTGCACCCTGAGTGTATTTGCCTGGGGCAGCTGCAGCTCTCAGAAGGCCTGGGGTTGCAGGGGCAAGGGGGGTTGGCACGTTTGACTTCACTGTCCCCTAACTGTCTGATGACATCTGGAAATCAAAATCCTGAAGGCCGTCTTTTCAGAGGGCAGCCAGAGGGAAGTTGTCTGTGCTTGCCGGGTCTCAGCAATCTCTTTGATGTGGCTGATGTGTTGAAACGATGCCCTTCCTCCAGCTGCTGGGAATGTCTGGGCATGTGCAGCTGCCTGCCTGATGCTGCCCTGTCCCTCCCCTGGGCCAGCACCTGAGACTTATGCCCAGATAAATCCTGGTTCCAGGCTCCTGGCTGGGCTGCCCACTAGGTCTTCATTTAGCCTGATGGGGGCAGCGAGGAGGTCTGGACATCATTCTGCATTCCGGTCCAGACATCCATGAGTCTTTCAGGGCCCAGGCCTTTCCCCAAGATCTGAGGTCCAGAATTCATCTCAAGGAACCCTGAAAGATTCCCCAGATGTGATGAGCAGGGAAGGAAGGCAGGTATGCCCAGGGTGAGGAAGGAAGAAAAAGCAGGAGACAGGTGTTCGGAAGCCTGCCATGGCGGGGCTCTGCCGAGGAGGGGTTGGCTCTGCACTTTGATCTCCTGGGTCAAAGCTGTTAAGCCTGGAAAAAGGAATCTGCCTGATGCAGACCACAGCAGGAGTTTCTGTGTTGGTTCCATCACTCACTGTTTCGGCAAATATATAATGAGCACTTCCTGTGTGTTGACGATACCAAGGATATAGCAGTAAAGGAAACACAAAATCCCTGTCCTCATGAGTACACATTCCAGTGAGGGAGCTACACTCTATCTGCAAAATATACTCTGACATGTGTTATCTTTGTCAGATAGTGAAAAGTGCTGAGAAACATACACAAAGCAGGCATGGCAGATGCTACGATACAGGAGGTGGGTGGCCTTCGGACAGGAGGACACGAGTAGAAAGGGGATAGGGTGAGGTAGGCATGTGAGAGTATGGAGGAAGAGCATCCTAGGCTGTTCGCACAGCAAGTGCAAGGGTCCTGTGGCGGAGCTGAGTTTGGCTTGTTAGAGGTACCATGATGAGGTCAGGCTAGACAGTTTAAAGGGGACAGGAGGAGCTGAGCTGAGCTCAGCTGAGCTCAGAAGGATGCCACTGTCAGGGGCTTTGGCTTTCATGAGAGACCAGAGCCAGGGAAGGACTGGCACTCTGATTTGCACTTTAAACAGAGCTACTGACCACTATGTTGAGAATAGACTCCCGTGGGACAGAGGAAGGTACAACCGGGAAGACCCATTTTAAATTATTTCACAGTCCGGGAGAGAGATGATGGTGGCTTGGACTGGGGATGGCTGTGGAGATGGTGACAAGGGGTTGGATTTCTGGTTGATTTGGAGGTAGTTTTGCCTGAGTTTGCTGAAGGATTAGACATGAATGTGAGAGGAAGAGAGGGCAGATCTTTCCCCATCGTAGACCTCAGGAGAGTGAAATGTCTGTCCTCACAGGGAGATGAGATTTGTGAACACAGGCTGATCATCAGAAAGCACTCCCCAGGCTGTTGGCCACTCTGCCTTTTCCTGTAGCCTCCTCTCCCTCGTGTGAGGTGGGACAGGCCAGCCTAGACAGGCAGTGTGAAGTCACAGGGTCACAGAGTTAGTATATGGCAGGTTTGTACTTCAGCACCTTTGCTGGCTGTGTGACCTTAAGCAGTTGGCTCACCCCCTCTGAGCCTCAGTTCCCTAATTTGTGAAATGAGGGTAATAAAAGCTACCTAGAAGAGTCACAGGAACATTCAATAAGGTGTACAGGAAAATGCTTGGCACTTTTCATCCCTTCCTTCTTCAGACAGAGATGGCATATTTGGGGGACAAAACCCCAGATAGGAACAGCATGATCTAGGCAGACATTCATCTATAATATGCAATCATATACGACAGGGCATTGTACCCTGTCCCAAAACCTCCCCGAAAGTCCCTTTGGCCTCTTTGTAGGTGGTGTGAGCCTCTCCCCCATCACTTGTCATACAGCTCTGATGGGCAGGGGTCTGTAAGGACCCAGGGTTCCCTGGGCGCCCTCACCTGGGCTGGTGCAAGCTCTTCCCTGTCCTGCCAGGTGCTGCCTTGCTCCTGCTGCTGCGGTGAGGCACTGGATGTCACACAAAGACCCTCACACACACAAAGCATGGCCAAAGGTCACCTCCCAAGTCTTTGAGGGGCGGTGAGATGGTTTGTGCTCTGTGGTGAGCCCTCGGGGTGCTGGTGCGAACTTGCTGGCTCCTCCATCTGGTTGAGTTGGAGACTGTAAGGACAGTGGGCTTTACCTTCTACTTCTGATCGGATATAACATAGAGATAGCACATCCTTGTTTTTTTTTTTTTTCTTTGAGACAGCATCTCACTTTGTCACCCTGGTAGAGTGCTCTGGCATCATAGCTCACAGCAACCTCAAACTCTTGGGCTCAAGCGATTATCTTGCCTCAACCTCCTGAGTAGCTGGGACTACTGGTACCTGCTACAACACATGGCTATTTTTTAGAGACAGGATCTCGCTTTTGCTCAAGCTGGTCTTGAACTTCTGAGCTCAAGCGATCCACCCACCTCGGCCTCCCAAAGTACTAGGATTGTAGGCGTGAGCCACAGTGCCCGGCCTTAGATAGCACGTCCTTAACACAAGCCATTTCCAGCAGACAATAACTGCCTCTAGTAGCAGTGTCTGTCATATGTCTGTCATGACTCTCAGTTGTGAAACCTACCCAGGTCTCCCCAAATGGCTGCAGCGAGGAGGACATCAATGTCTGATCTGGCTCTGGCTGCCTTCTTTGGAGCTTTATCATTACTCCCCACTTGCATCTCCTGCAATGCATCAGCCACTCCCCCAGGTTTACCCGGGTAGGGGGCTCGTCTTACCTGCCCTCTCCCCATGCCACCTGGGTAGAGAGGGCAGGCAGGCTGCTCACACTACAGATAAAGGAGGCAAAAACTAGGGCAAGGACGAGTGAAAAGCCCTTGCAGACAAGGTGGCAGACACTCTTTGTCAGGGGAGGCAGCAAAGTGGGGCCCACACTGCAGACCAGGGAGAGGGACGTGTGCACAGTCTGGGTTTGCTAAACCCAGAGGCGCAGACCTTCAGGTGCCTCAGTGAAGGAGGAGGTGCAACAATGCATTTTCCAACCCAAATTTCAGAGGGTGGGCTCTACAACATCTGCCCTCCACTGGGGCTGGAGCTGGGCTGCACAAAGCTCTCTAGGGCTGGTGGACCAGAGAGAGGACTTTCCATTAATACAAGGTGCCATGAGTGGTTTTGAGGTAGAGATCAAGTAAGGAGACCAGATGCCCTTTGAGGGGTCTCTGCTAAGACCCTGATTCTGGGGAAAGGAGATGGAGACATTTCACATAGGGAACTAACTTATGTTTGTAATGTGGAGCTGGCCAGTTAGGCCAGGAACAGTGAGGGTGTCTAGCGCAGGCCAAGCGCCCTGGTGAATTCCTCTGGTGTTATCAGCTGCACTGGGTGTGTACCCTGCTGTCCTCCAGCAGACTTGGCTATGCCCTCAGACCCCTGCAGCCACATAGCATAAAGCATGACAGCAAAGGCTCCAGCTTCCCTAGGGACAACCTGCCCTTCATCTCGTTTCTCAGGTGGGAGCAGCTGAAGGGGAATTAACAGGTGTCCAGTCTCCGCAAGAGGGACTCCCTCGGCTGGGGCTCAGAAGAGGCCAGGGGAAGCCCCATGAGGTCTAGAGTGGGGTCCCTGAGAGCTGGAGCCCAGGAAAGAAGCAGAGAGCAGGTTCCCCCAGGCTCACTCTTGGCGCCTTCTATACCCAGGAATGTTCATATGGGCCAGGAGGGCCTCTTTGGGTGGGGAGTGGGGGTGTGAAGAGAAGAGTGAGTCACTTGGCTTTTAAATAAGTGGGTAGAATTTTTATTTTCCCTAGACTTTTGCTCAGATGCCTCCAAATCCTATTCAAGGAACCACATCTGAGTAAGACTGAGGCCAAGGTTAGTTCCCAACAATACTACAGAGCTCGACCTGGCTTCAGCCACTTTGCTATTCCTGTGATACCTTCCTGCCACCCCGTCTTGAAGCCTGACCTGGGCTACTTGAGGACAGCAACTGGATCATATTTATCAATCTCACTGAGCACAGTGCCAGGCACCTAGTAGGTACTGTTCTTAATTTTAAAAAATTATTTTCCGGCTTGGC